AAGCTTAAGCCCTTGAAGTACCATAAATTATTAAGTCAACAACTTAGAACCCATGCCTGCAGATTAGACTCCGTATTGCTTCCAGGGAATTCAGATATTTAAAGAAATAAACGGCTTTAGTAGCTGATATACTTGCAAAAAAAAAAAAAGTGATTTATTTGTTTAAGTAACTGACAAGGGTCTGTGATTTATTTTCACCATAGACTATAAAAGATGCGCCAGGCTTCTTACCCGGCTGGCTGTCAGTCCAGTGTGCATGGAGGATAAGGTAAGCTTGGACAGAAGTGCACTGGAGCACATACCAAAGACCGGAATCCCGCTTGGGACATGAAAACTTCACAGGAGTTTAGGAACACTCATTCTTTGGCTGAGGTAGCCGTATTCTAAGTAGAGAAGGTCCAACACTCTTATCTCAGTGCTGAAAGCTGCCCTACTGACCTGTCGACACTGCCCAGGCAGCTGCTGTTCACTGCTCACCGCACGGCACGTGGGCACTGAGTGGGTCCTGCTCTGAAACACAGCAAATCTGCCAGTTTCAGCATATGACTGAGTGCATAAGCCAGGAACAGACTAAAATTGTCCCTGTTTACTTTGAGGCATTCATTCATTCACTAACACTCACAAGTTAAGTAGATGACCAACATTGTCCATGTAAATTCAAATGATCACATCTGGTAAATGTTTGAGTTGTAGTCTATCATGACAGTAAGCTCATAAAGAACAGCTATCCTCTTTAAATGTTTCTATCAATGGTTTTTTTTTCCATAGCCTCTAATAGTAAAAACGTAAATGCATACCACATTTATGAACTGAACTTTGTACCTTGGCCCCTCGAGGGCTGATATGCAACATGTAACAGCAACCATCAGCGGATGTTTTGAAGGGTAAGGTTTTATTTTCCTGACACAAATGCCACAGAATTCAGTCACGTTAGACGGCAGGATGCCACTGTAATTTCACCCATTTTATACTTACTACGTCTTGTATGTGTGGGCACTGCCCGATGCTGGCTACACCAGCACAAGACAGACAGGCTTCCTGCCCATTGACAGCTGTTCAGAGCACATTCATGAAAAGGGAGTATTTTTCTAGTGGTTACTCTAGTTTGTCTCATGTAAAATGGATGAGGGTAGGTAGTGGTCTTTCCTATACAGATGTGCTCTCTGTGGAGAAGCAGTGCTTATGAATATTTAGGTAGCAGCAGCAGAAGGGGTTGCCTGCATGACCCCAACACCAGCAGGAAGCATCTTTCCCAGTAGAAGAAACTGCTGCTAATGAGAGGAATGGCACTGGGGGAGGCAGGCCGGTGGGTAATGGCGGGTTGAGACTGCGTTTTGCAGTTTCACTGCACTTTTTCTTTGGAGACAGTGAAGGTTTCAATGCCAGGCAAAGCTGGGAAGTGCTGTGTAGTAATGTCCCCCCAGGTCCCTGCTCTTTCCACTTCTCTCGAGCCGCTCATCCACTGCCTGTATGTCACACGGACTTTCTTCTCTTTAAATCAGTGAACAGATGTATATTCCTGTCACCCAAGGTGATATGCCAGGGGAGATGAGTTTTTTTTTTTTAGGTATTTCTTTATAATTAAATCCCATTGTTCCCAGAGATGAGCCAGGGACATCCTTGGACATTTTCCACTTACTTACAAGTGAGGAGAGCCAGTTCCCCACTGTTTTAGCCACTCGAAGAGCTACTCTGTCTACATGTCCATTAGCCAACCCCTGCCTCCCCTCTGCTGGCTGCTGCTGGAGGCAGCTGCAGTTACACTGAAGGACATGGTCATTTCAGTGGGACTCAGGCTCCTGGATGGGTCTCTGCATGGCACTTCATGCTTTGCAAATGCCACAGTGATGCCCCGCAGAAAAGCTGTGGCGGAATCCCCTTGATAGTCTCCAGCACCCTTTACATCACTCTCCCCATCACCGGACAATCACATCAGAGCCTGACTGACGATGAGATGCAGGTAAAGGTAACAGGGCAAGGCCCAGGCTCGCAAGCTTCTGTTCCCAAAAGGCCACCTGCTTGACAGCCACAGGTGTCGCAGCTGTAACTGGGTTCATTTTGGCCAAGACATAGGTATAGTTTAAAACATTGATACCCTCTTAACTATAATTTCATAACTTCCATTTTTTTTTTTAAAGATACTTTCTTCAAAGTCCAAAAGTTTTAAACGGCAACAGCAAATTGTTACCTAGCTGGTCACCACAGTGTAGATACAGTCCAGGGTTTCTCTGTGCTTTGCAGACCTCAGTGAGACACCAGAGGGCAGGGCAGGCATCCCAGGGTGCCCACACTAGTGCGACGGTGTGGCATCAGGAAGGCCCTGCAGTCCCGGTTCTGCTGGTTAACAACCTGCCACACGCACTTCTGTCCTGACACACAAGGACGGCAGGGCAAGACTGCAAACCATGACCTTGTCTTTGTAAAGGCCCAGAGCCTGAGAAAAGCAGGTGTTTAGCAGGAAGGGCTCTGCCCTCATCTCAGAGCAAATCCATTTGCCACATTCTGAAGCTCATTAATAGACCTCTTCAGCCAAAGAGAACAATGTCCCCACCTACCCTCCCTAACAGTCACAGACGCACTTCATTGTTGGACTTCCAGGTCAGTCAATCAGAAGCCTGAGCTCTGGAATATTGTCAAAGAAAAGGAGTTCTGAGTAGTGAGTGCCCAGTGCACTCTCCCAAATGCAGCCTCATCTTAGTAACCTCGAAGTTTATCACTCTTTTAAAAATAAACAGAATACCAGTGGTTTAGATATTTCAACAAAGAATGCTAGAAACAACTGTCTAATCTTGATTATTAGCTTTACCAACTCTGTAAACACTGAGGTTGCAGAACTGCCAGGTAAATCCCTGTGGCCTGGACTACTGAGGATTCTGATAGCACATATAAGACTAAGCACTCTTCTTCAAGCTTTAATAAGCATCCACATGTATCTGTGATGACTTTCATTGCTTTAGCATCGCAGCCATGTAGTAACTGCAGAAAGAAGTTATTTTTCAAAAGACAGTAGACTACACTTTTTGTAACACAGAGACATACAGACGCACTCTGAGACTGCCTATGTTGATAACTGAAGTGACAGGTCTTCTGGAATTCACAGGAAGAAGTGTGGATAGTCATATCAAACGCAATGTATTTGTTTTCAGCAGTGAGCAGACTGTACAGGAGCAGCACACCAGGAGCCATGAGAAGTGCCTTGGAAACCAACAGGGAAACAGAACTATCTTTATACACATCCCCTCATGGACAAGAGATTTATTTTTGCAGACAGACTCTTCAATAAGTCCTTTGAGTTTTGTATGTTGTTGACACTGTTTGCAGATACATATTCGATAAATCAGTGTATTGACAGTGATATCTGTCACTCTTATTTTAAAAACAACCACAAAAGGAATGCTCCACGTTTGATGTGTAGTGCTATAAAACACAGAGAATATTTCGTTTTCTTGATTAGCTGAAATCACAAAAAATGTTTCTTTAGAAACATAAGCAGAATCTTAAAGTATATTTTCATATAACATAATTTAATATTCTGTATTACCTTCACTGTTAAATTCTCAGAGTATTATTTGGAATGGCATGAAAAATTAAAATTTTGGTCATGTTTTAGGAACAGTGGAGTGTAAATCTGTGGCTAATTCTGTTGGTCCTTTGTATAATAAATGTAAAATAGTATTCCAGCTATTGTGCAATATGTAAATACTGTAAATAAACAAGTAATAAATGAAGTGTTTGTTATAATGAATAGTCTTCAAAGTGACTACCTCTCTAACAGGTTCACTGTTGGGAATTCGTGTCTTCAGATTTACTGAGACCATGACACTGGCAAAAGGTCACAGAATATAAAAGTCATAAACAAATGAAAACTTGAAGCCTAAGAATTTCTCTAAGGGATCATTAGCATTTTTTTAAAGTAGAGGCTACTATATATTGGTGACATAATTTCTTCAGATAGGCCCTGATTTGCTGGGAAATATTCCAAATAAGGTTGTATCCATTATTTCCCAAGCGATTTTGTAATCATGAAAATGCAAAACTAGGAGGAACCTTAAGACTTCTAAGCAGTCTCAAAATTTTACATGTAGATGTATTTTAAACAGATCTAACTGGATCCAATTTAAAAAGCGGAATTCAGCAAAGCAATGTTTCTCCATTCATACGAGCCCTTGTCGGCAGATGGTATTGTCTGGGTAGAGCCATAAGGACAGAATAGTCAAGAGTCCTAGGATTTGTTTGAGGATGTGTATTTATAAACATTAAAGAAAAACTATAGGATTTTATTTCCAAACATAAAGGAATAGAAGAGTAAGAAATTTTGACTTTGAGATAATTAAAAGCAATTACTGAATGAAGAGAACAGGGTGTAACTTTTGAAGTGTTCTTACTTAATTCTGTTTTCTAATTAAGCTCATTACTTGACCTTTTCTTCCCAATTTTTTATGTTTTAAGGATATCATGTTCAAATATCCAATCTATTAATATTTAATCCCCTAAGTTTTCTGTATGTCTGAGTAATTCCAACAAGAGCAAGACTCACTGAGTCTGCAAACTTTCTTCCTATGAAGACAGCGTGGCACTTCCACATGATACAGTGGGGAAACTACTCACTTTCATCTGGCAGCAGCTCATCCTCCAGGCACTAGTGAGTCAAGGATCAAACATGTCTCCTCCCCCTGGCACTGCCTGGGACCCTGACGATACTGGTCAGGAGTGCAGATGTCCTGGCCAGGCAGCTGTGCGTCACTGCACAGGAGGGCACAGCGTAGAGGCAACATGTCCAGAGGATGGTATTAGGCAAGGACATTTCCAGCTGTAGGACCTCAAACTTCTTTCAGAAACTAGACATGATGATATGCGGCAGCAATGTGCTTATTTTCATCATTTTACTTTCTCATCCTGAAGATAAAGCATGCACACATAACATCATAGATCATGTAAAAGGGACAAAACGATGTGTTCAAATGCTTCCTTGTCAATAAAAAAAACAGGCAGACACCAGATTTATATCTCTAGTTGTATTTTTATAACTCCCCAGTTTATTTTGAAATATTCATGATTTCGACATTATCTCAATACACAGAAATTACCTATATCTGCCTATACATTTATTAAATGCTGATGAAGAATACTTAATATTTAAGCATGCCAAATAATAAAGCGTTTCCCAACTTTTAAAATTATTTTTAAAAATAAGCCAATTTATATTGGACATTTGGGTTACATGTGCATATAAAAAGTGTCATATTCCTCAACTGACCATAGTTAGACTAGCATACAAGCGTCCTTCTTTCTGGATATAATTAAGTTTCAGAGGCAAAGTGGTTCAGATGGGAGCAAATGAGCTGACTTCCTCATGAAGTAAACTCAACAAAAATCATGAAGTATTGAAGGTGCTAACGACTGTTTCCATAAATGTTTCTCTCTTCCCTATCTTTTCAATATACAAGTGTGCACTATGGGTGTGTATAAATTAAAACACTTCTAATCTAGACTGTGAGCTCCTATGGAGAGGGCTACTGTCAATCCATAAAAGGCCCTGGGCAAGAGAGAGGTAGCACAGGGAGCAGAGGGCACCTGCCCCCCATCAGGCCATCCACACGAACCTACTGAAGAGGTAGACTTGACTAAGTCTCAGCGGGCTTAGATGCTGACCTGGGCCTTCAAGTGAGGTTTTCCTTCATTATGTTTTATGTTGCTTGTTCTACTATTTTTGTAATTGGGGCAAAGTGAGATGTTCAACTAGTCTAAGAATGCTTACTATACCCCATAAACTGTCAGAATCAAATAATTTTATTGATTCTTCTGCCAAACATAACTGATTTCCATCTACAATATTTTTTAAGGTAAGAAACAGTAAGTCAACTGAACAAAGAGCTGGGCCTTTGGGCTCTGGAACATGATTACACACTGACTGAGAATGCAGGACCTCAGGGTGGGGTCTAGTCAGGCTGGCCACAGCAGGGCATGAACCTGCCTCAGTCGGCCTTCTCCAAGAACGCTCTGCAGCACCTGACACATTGCTGGTACACCGTCTCAAAGTCAGAGTCATTCCCCTAAATGGACAGGAAAAGAAGAAAATGGCAAAACCTGCATAACAAAAACATCCTTACCACAATCTACTCTGTTATTTAATACTGCAGGATACCGACGTGGTGGGTCATCACATTAGCCCTAAAACGTGAACTGTACTTACATAATAGGGATCTTCAATAATAAGTTGTTTTTGTGGATCATAGCTCCCAAGTAGTTCAATTTTAGCTTTGCAGGTTTTAACTTGATTACTTTTTCTATTCAAATCTCTGTAAAATTGAAACATGAACTTAGTTTTCTGATCTATGGTTTCAAGTTAAACAGGGACATCTGCTAGGGTCTTATGAAACATCCATATCAAAATCAAGACAGGATGACCTAATTTGAAATGAAACAGAACACTCAGCAGGCCCGTGTGGCCCCTTCTGCAGCTGTATGCCACTGCCCTCTCTCTAGGCAAGAGAGTTTGCGACAGCAGCTTATTCTCACTGATTCTGTTACACAAAATATACAATAATTATATTTTCTCCCACGAAATATATTTTGAGACAATCAATCAAGTTTCAGAGATTAAACAAAGGTGACAGAAAGGAACCCAAAACACCATCTGAACCAGTCCCCCAACAGAGGGCTACCAATTCCATCCTCAGGTGTCTTGACAGCACTTCCCGCAGCATGACCCACTCCTTAATTACTCTTCCTTCTTTTACTCCTCAAGCCTCTGCCCAAGCTGAAAACTCAGCTTCACTCTAGACTTCCACCTTTAGCTTTCACGTTGCTACAAAAGAAAAAGGCAAACTGAACTAAGTGCCTCCATTTATTTAACATTTCGACTGAGCACCTACGAAAGATGAGTCGATGAGTCAGGCATGTGCTTTATGTGGGAAAGGAACAGCCAAGAGCCCCGTGCGTGAAGTTTCACAGCAGCTCAGGAGTAGGCGCAGGGACGAGAACTGCGGGCAGGCCTAAGTCTAATGCACAATCTGGCCTAGTGACAGGGTAGTGGAATACCTCTACAAAGAAATGAATCTAAGCTGACCCACGAAAGGCAAATAGGAGCCGAATGGCCCAAGCAGCAAGGAGGAGCTTCCAGGCAGAGGAATAGCACATGCAAACGTGAGGCTGCAGGAACTCTGCTTGCCCCACACACAAAGAAACACAGTGCTCAGTGCCGATCAAAGCAAATGGGGTCTCCTAAAAAGGTGTTTTTACAATACCTATAAGCTATGGTGTCAGCGAAAACAATGAGAACAGAATAAGGACTGAAAAATAAAATTTAAAAATGCGTGCATTTTAATGAAGGTCCTGATTAATAAAAAATAATTAAAACTGGTGCATCCCTATCTGTTCATTTGTACAAAAGTAATTAAAAGAACAAATAGTTTATCTTCATCAAAAACAAGTACTATTTATGAAAAAGTAGTGATGTAAGTCAGAATCCTGGAGTGACATTAAAATATGATTACTTTCCAACGACGCCCTAAGTAGAGGACTGGGGCAGGTCAGGAGAGTGGTGACTGAGGCAGGACGGCAGGGCTCTGCCTCACTGAGCCTAGGCTTAAATCCCACCACATCTACCACATGCTAGCTGTGTGAACTTGGGGACACAACCTAACATTACCGTTTCTCACGTCCTTCTTTCACAAGATGGGGTAATAATAGGAACCTACGGTTGCAGAGCTTTGGCCTAAGAATCAATAAAACACTGCCCTGTCCAGGAATCACTACAGCAAAAATAACAAAACTGCTCTCATGTAGAACAATGTGCCTGATACAAAACTATCACAGTCAAGCTAGTTTTCCAATTAAATGATGCTATTAATAACTGGACTTTCCCTTTTCTAAGGTGTATTTCCTTGAAAATACCTAAGGGACAATTCTAGATTACTAAGGTTTTTTGCTGTTCTAAATAAATAATTCCACATATAGTGACCATCACTATTAAAACCTTTAAAATAGAAAAAGTAAATCTGGACAACAAATTACTTGGCCCATTACTGAACTGAGAGTTGAACAGACATATTCTTCAAAAACAGGATTACCTCAGATTGCTTTCATCCATACATAGTATATAATCAAACGTGGCAAAATCTTCTTTGGTAATCTAAAATTGAATAAGAAGTCAAAATACAGTGTTTATACCATTTAAGCCTAGAGTATGCAAAGCAATACTAAAAGAAAAAAAAACTGCTATATTTGAGCCTGTTATTCACTAATTAACAATTTAATTAAATAAATAATTTTTAGGATACTTTTAAGTTAGAAGAGAGTTAACCTACTTCTCAAAATTGTACTGCAAAGAAATTTTGTATTATAAAGTTCCATACAATAATCATAAAATAGTATAATGTGTAGACACAATGTTTATACATCAGCTTCAATTCCTTAGTAACATATAACACAGTCAACATACTAAAATGTCACATATTTAATCCCCTTCATTATTCTACTCTATTTTTCATTCCACAAGCACTGAACATCCTGGGTCCCAGTGACACACACCAAGCTAAGCGGATAAGCCATGTCTGGTGGAGCTGCCCTTCTACACGGGGCAGGCAACACACAGGAGGCACAGATGCCCCGGAGGAAATAAAGCAGAGAGGAGGTACACACAGGTCTGGGGCAGGGAGAAGGAGAAGTATTAAGTTGGATGGTCAGAGGTGGTCACTAAGAAAGAGACACAGGAGTAATAACCGACAGTCCTCCTTTATTTTGATCGAATATCCATAATTTAAACCTGACACAGAAGAGAATGCCACTCAGTATTTCTACTGATTGTAACCTGAAAGCTTATCATTGTTTTCTGATATAATCTATAAATATACCTACTTAAAATATAAATAAAAAGATTATTTTGTGAATTTCAACTACTATAAATAATGGCAGAATAAGAAACATAAACATACGTACTGCGGAACAAAGGCGGAAAGTGTAACTTTCCTAATACACTTGTTCTTCTAAAAAATGAGAAACTTCAGCTTTTAGCATGCACTTCCAGAAACTAGAAAGGACTGTATTTCGTCAACACTCCCATGGCACTGACTTATTTCAAAATCGAGAATAAGTACAATACTGAATTTTTTTTTCTTTTTTGTTTTTAGAGAAAAGGTCTCACTGTCACCAACGCTGGGGTGCACTGGTGAGACCATAGCTCACTGCAGCCTCAACTTCTTGAGTTCAAGCCATCTTCCTACCTCAGCCTCCCAAATAGCTGGGACTACAGGCACATGTCATAGCACCCAGCTAATTTTGTAAATTTTTGTAGAGATGGGTCTCACTATATTGCCCAGGCTGGTCTTGACCTCCTAGGCTCAAGCAATGTTGAGCCTCTCAAAGTGTTATTAGGATTATAAGTGTGAGCCACCAAGCCTGAACAGTATTATTTCTCCAAATTAGTTATGTGAGAAATGCCCTAAGATTTAATACTAAACTTGTTTTAAATTCTGGACTAATTGTAAATTTTTCATAAAAAAAGACTTAGTAATTGTTACATAATTTTTAGATGTTACAATAATTGAGAAAAAAAAGAAACAGCTATAACTTATGTAACAAATGCACAGTAAAGGATTTCCACTTGCAGCAGCTTGTGGCAAATCATCCCTACTACTAAAAACAACTAGAAACCCCATATACAAAACCAATGCTCTAGTGACCATCAGGCTTTGGGGGCCACGAGGCCGCTCTAGCTCTGCAGCTCTCGCACAAAAGCAGCCACACACTACAGGTGAATGAACAAGTCTGGCCGTGTTCCAATAAACACTGTTCATAAAAAAGGTACCTCAAAAAAAGGTGCAGTCCCCAACCTGTAGACTCCTGCCACTTGCCACTTCTCTTCCCGCTAAAACTGGGCAATGACGAGGCCTCAGAACAGGGATCTCAAACAGTTCAGTAGCAGAACTCTTTACCTCTTTACAATTATTTAAATCCTGTGTTATGGTTTGGATGTGTCCCCCAAAGTTCCTGTGCTGGAAACTTCATCCCCAATGCAACAACAGTGAGAGGGAGGATCTTGATCAATGCTACTAGCTTGGGAGTGGGCTCCTGACGCTGATGGGTCCTCTCTCTCTCCTCTGTTTTCCTCCTCTTGTTTTTCTAGTTCTCGCTCTCACTCACTCTGGGACCCTCTCGACTCCTTCACCTTCTACCACAGGATCAGGCAGCAAGAAGGACCTCACAGCCCCATGAGCCCCTTGACTTTGGACTTCACAGCCTCTGGAACTATAGGAAATAAATCTCTGTTCGTTGTAAATTACCCTGTCTCAGGTACTGTTAGAGCAGCACAAACGGACAAAGATATACAAGCAACAAAACAAAGAGAAAAAAACAGAAAAGGAAAGCAGACTCACAAATGGTCCAGATAATCAGAAAATCAGATAATCAGAGTTGCCACGGTATTTAAAGCAGTTGTGATAGAATGCTCAAGAAAACAGAGAGCAAGATGTAGAATTTCACCAGAAAAATAGAATCTACAAAAAAAAAAAAAAGAAACTTAAAGAATTAAGTAAATAACAGACAATCTTGATACTGTTTGAAAACGGCAGAAAGATTTGTGTATCAGAAAACAGGTCGGCAGAAAATATCAGACTGAAGAAGAGAGTGAAAGGGATAGAAAATAGAAGAGCATTAGAAATATATGTTCAATATACACATAAGGTGAATCTCAGGAGAAAAGAGAAAGAGAAGTACAATATGAAAAGATAACAGCCTGGGATTTTCCAAAATTGATGAAAAGCATCAAGTCACAACGTCAAGGATCATATCTGGTCTACCACACCGAAACTGCTGAAAACCAAATTCCGAAAGAAAAACTGAAAGACTGCCAGAGAAAGTAATAGACAACAAAAAGACAACCCATTAGACAAATTTTTCAAATGATAAGCAGAAATACCATCAATCTTCAACAAACTTTTTTTAGAGAAGAAAAAGAGGGAACATCCCCAATCTGTTTCATGAGGATGTGTACCCCACTACACGGTGTCTGCTGGGCATGACTCCAACAGAACACAGCAGGTGCACACCGTTACCACAGCAGCACTATCTGCAGTAGCCCCAAACTAGAAACCCCCCAAACCCCCACCAGGAGGAGAGCGGACAAACTGTGAAATGATATCGTATCCAGCAATGACAATTATATTGCTACAATAAACACGGAGATTCTCACAAGCAAAAAAAGCTGACAGACAACAGCATGTACTATAATTCCACTTCTATGAAGTTAAAAAGTACAACCAATTTTTTGTGGGGATTTCTGGAGGAGTGGGGAGGGGGCTATTATGGGACCTCAGGGTTGCACTCACAATCTGTGTACACAAGTCAATGAAAAGTTTACCGAAAAGAGAACATAATGTATAATAAAGTAAAAAAATCTCCTTTGAACTAACTGGGCAGAAAGCTCACGTATTCTAAAAGACTAACTATAAGAGTTAAAAATAAGCACCCTAAAAATATTTCATTTATTAAACACAGGTTGAAAGGCACTGAGAAAATTGAGATTTTAAGAAATGTACAATAGTTATCACACAAATTGTGACATTAGTAAAGGAAAAGAACTTGTAAACAAAGATCTGATGTGATACTGATTCATAAAACATACCTTAAAAATTTCTTAAAAGAAACGGGAAAGAAAAAGCAAGAAACATGTGCAAATACTGCTTCTAAAACTGTTCTTTAAAAAAGTTCCTAATATGTCTTTAAAATACTTCATTTGCATCCACTCTTATTACACACTTAGTGGAAAAAAAAAAACTGACCTTAAAAACATAAAACTTCAAAGTATGAGTGCTCATATTCTGAAGGACTGCTCCAAATAAATCTATTTTCAACAATGGCCAGTAGAAACTGGCAAGGTATGCAAAGGCCTGAAGAGATTAGGATGGATAAATTGTATAAAAATGTTTAATCACCTGACCAATGACAATTCCATTTCAGAAAAGGTCAGTCCCACAGTACTTCATTTAAATAAAGAACCCTTAGAAAAATCAACTTTAGCTTATAATTTATAATATAAATACAAGGTTATCTTCAACTGAAATTGCAGAATTTGATTGTGACTTTATTAGACTCCAAACTTCAAGTGTGGCACAACACACTATAATTATGTGTCCATAACCTTGTTGGTATTACCCTATATTACTATGGCACTTTACAGTTGAAAAAATGTTTTTGTATATACTATATAACTTAATTCTAGCAACAAACTTGCAATATAGGCAGGATAATTACTATGGCCTAAATGTTTAATAAAAATTATGCAGGAAGGAACAGAAGACAGAGCACCGCTCAGCCCAAGCTCGCAGTCAGGCTCTCTCATTATAAATTACCTAGCTTTTATGTGCATTTTAATAAATAAATTCCAAAGTCATGCAAGTCTTTCAATACTGTGCAACCAGAAGTGAAACAAAATGGACACACTGTAGCTGGTTAAGCTCACCCTAAATAAACACATTCATTAATATACAAGTCTAGTTAATCCTTTTACTACTTCTCAAGTTACCGGACTCTACATATTAGAAATGGAACAAGAGCTTGTCTACCTGTCTTGCTTTATGGGCTGTGTGAATGCCATGATTTCTTAGGCAGCTCACAGCTCTTGGGTCTGGGGACCGGCCCACGTTCCAGTCAGAAACAGCACCGCTGTCAATGACCCACTGAAACACAAAACACACATCTTCAAGTCCAAGGACGGTACCTGCCGGGCAACGTGGCTCATGGGGATGCCGTGCCTCTTCATGCAGTTCTGCCCTCGGTAGTCAGGGGCGTTCCCTATCTCATACCCGGAAGTCGCCGCGCTGTCTACCCTCCACTGCAGGGGAAGAAACATGGAATTTTTTTTTTGGCATTTTCCTGCCCAGAAGAGTTCAGGTTGGCCTCTTTAAGATAATGAATGGTACTTACATTCTCTGAGATGTTTTGATCAGTTACAAGTTTCCTGAAAACTGCTTCTGCAATGGGTGATCGACAAATGTTACCTTTAAAAAAAGGGGGGGTTGGGGAAACAGAGGGTTAGGTTGGACGGAAGGGCACAGGCCAGTTCCCCCTCTTCACACACCTGACACGCAGGGGCTGTGCTATCCCTCAGGAAAAATAAAGGCCACCAACACTATCCTTTGATGCCTTTGTCCAACCAGTGAGGGTAGACCCTGCTGGAGAACAGCCCATCAGGCTCAAGTTCAGTGACTTGACACCAACCGGCCAAGTACTCCAAGTATAGATGACAAAGATATCAGAATAACAATTTCAACCAAAATTATTGTTTAAAGAGCTGCTACTAAAGATCCAGGAGCGAATCATGAAAATCAAGTGGGTTGCAACCAGCTTATTTTAAAATGAAATACAACAGAATAAAAATAAAATACAGTGGTCTGTCCCTCAGCAGACTCAGGGAGCTGGTTCAGGACACCCTCCCACACCTACCCAGTATACCAAAACCTGCATACTCAGGTCCCACAGGGAGCCCCTGCGAATTTGGAGCCCAAGTATAGGAAAAGTCAGCCCTCCATATAGATGGGTTTTTCATTCAGACAACAGGGTATTTTCCATCTGTGCTTGGTTAAAAAAATTACTTGAATAAATCCCTCGAAGTTCAAACCCCTGTGGTTCAAGGGTAACTTATGTATTTTCAAGTATATCACACATAAGGATGACTATTGTTTCACAAAACAACACACAAACACACAAACATGCATTTAAGCATAAACAGTGATTCAACACCGACATTCACTGAGCGATCACATGCGAAGCCCAGGGACACAGATCCAGGCATCAGCAGCCCAAGGTCGGGGACACCACTCTCCAGACCATGATGTTGACACCAGGGCCACCCCTACTTCAGACAGCAAGTGAGAAATCCAGGTTCCCCAGGGCTCCCTCAGGTTTGATAATTCCCCAGAATTACTCCCCAAACTCAGGAAAGCAGAACACTTACCATTACAATTTTATTATAGTAACAGTAACAAAAACAAAAATGAAAAAAAAAAAAAAAAAAAACCAGCCAAAGCAAGTGACCCCCAGGGCACACTCTGGGAGGTTTCCTGACGGGTAGCTCCACTGTCCTCTGGGACACCTTCCCCTCCTGTCATCAACATGGGGCAATATTCAAAGAGTGCTGCCAACCCGGGAAGCTCCTCAGAGCCGTGGTGCTCTGAGGTTTTAATGGGGTTTTTGGAGGGAGACACAATGGGTTCAACCACTGGCCATTCAGCTGAACTCAATCTCCAGGCACCCTCCCACCCGTGGCTCAAAGCCCCCACCCTGAGTCATCTCATGAGCATATATACTATGGGGGCCACCTTCAATAACTAAGACACTCCCATCACTCCTAGAAAACTCCAGGGCATTTAGAGGTTACCTCCCAGGAGCTAAGGTAAGGGCCAAATTCATTACTACCCAGAGGAAAAAGACATAAGATCTCATCCCAAAATAGATCTACCATATACAAGCGATGTACTTATGGGAGGTACCCAGTTGGCTATAATAAAAGTGGGAAAATGAATACTAATAAGCAATATACTACAGTAGCACAGAAAAAGAACGATGCTACAAAGCAAAAACAAGACGTAAGAAAATTTCCTACCAGAAAAAAGAAAGATTAGAGATGATATTTAAAGGATGATCAGGATCTTAATGGACAGAGGAAGGGAAAGGCATTTAACTCAGGGGGATTGTGGCACTAAGCAGGTGAGGCTGCGATGCTTCAGGTATAGACAGCCAGTGTCTGGAAACTGATGGGCTGGTATACAGGAGGCCTAAAACAAAGGGCCAAGACTTGGACTTTGCGTAGCCACTATGAGGAGAAATAGAAAGTCCTATGGAAAAGGGTAATATGACTTATTCAACAAACATATTTTGTATGCCCACTCTATGTGCCAAGCACTGTGCCCTAACCTGAAGACAGAAAGTTGTTTAAAACATACACCCTTCCTACAAGTTACCAAAATTACTGGCAGGGCTAAGGAAACGCTAGAAGAGCACATTACTGAATTGGAGAGACCTTGTAAGAGGCTCCTATGAAGGAGCAAATACAAGACAGTGTCAGAGTGGAAAGGTGTGGCAGCATTCCTCAACCATCATAAAGGTCATGGAAGATACTCCTGTAACAAAAGACAGGTTAACAAGAGAAAAAACATAGCAAATCTATTTAATCAGTTTTATGTGACATGGAAGCCTTCAGAAACGAAGACCCAAAGACCCAGGGAAATGGTTTTGATGCTTAGATGACCAATGCACAGCCATGTAGAAATGGAACTGGACAAAAGGAAATGATCCAATGGTAGTGGACTGAGGAGGGAAACCCAGCAGGGCCACAGCATTTCCTCCCCCAGGAATGAGGCAGGGCCCCTCTGGAATGGTGTCTTCAAGAGAAGGCAGAAGGGAGAGAGGTTTTGTAGGTTTTATGGCTTGCTTTGCGGGAGAGGAGTTCTAGTTTCTATGATCTGTGTTGGGGAAGATAAATGACCGTTTCTATGACCTTGCTTCTGGGGCTACTCTGAGGCCTTCCAAGTATCCTTAATGCCAAAGCACCATACTGAGTCCAAACATTAGGAACTGAATTTAGGAAACAGATAAGAAAAAGAAGAACTGTGAGAATAGACAGCACTAAATAAGAGTTTACTCTTTATCATTATTAGGGTTTCTGTTTATGACAAACAAGTACAATGAGGATCTTCTAGTGTTGTAAAACACAGCTAATTCCCTAATTCAGAAAACCAACTTATTGCCTTACTACAGCCTTCAGTTTCTACATTGTAAGACCTAAGCACATTATGTAATTTTTTCTCACAGAAGACTGCAGTTTCCACAGCAGTAAAAAATCTTACCTACAAACCATAAAGGGAGAGACAACAAATTAGCCTTGAATGCCCTCTCTATGCCAATTTGTGTTGTGAAGTTGTTCCTTTCGACATTCTAAATTTTGTTTAGTTTTTTAAACAGGTACTGTCATCAGCACTATTTTAATTACTGAAAGGCTTCCCATGGGTGTGTCACTCTTTTACTTGTCACCATATACCCTGGGAATATTTTTAACAGCAAACATTGTATTTCTAAATTAAGACACTTATTATTATTTTGGAACTGTACAACAGATGCCTAATATCTCAGCATCTAAAAATATAATAATAAAGACTAGCCCCACACGTTTACAAATAATTATCATTAACTGTAAAATAACAGTTCACTTTCCCCACAACAATATGAAAACTTGCATTATTAACTGTCCTGAAGGCTAGTAGTAGTTTGCTCTGTTGATTTCGAAAGTTGATGCCACCAAATTGTGTCATGAAAAAATGGAGCACCCTGGTCCTCAGTGAAACACTGCATGCACTTCACCTACAGAACAAGTTCTAAAAACAGAACACTCCAACCTCAAATGCCTTTAAAAACTGTTTCAATCTGTAAAGTATCAAGTTTGTCTTTTCCAAATTAGGCAGACTATTTTATACCCTTCTTCAGCATCTTCAATTCAAGGATGGAGACTCATAAAAGGCAACAGGTAGGCTCTGGGAGGGAAGGGCTGTGTCTGCTATACCTGGTAAGAGACCCAGCACCCAGTATGGGTGTAGCCCAGAAGTGATGTGACTCCACCAGCATGTGCTATCTCCACCAACCACGCTGGCTGGGTCATGGCTCCTGCATCATCTTCACTGGTAAGTCTCTATCTTACAAAAACATAAAGCACCCTTCAAGATTGGGCTGTAGTAAGCAGCTCAATTATTTCCCATCATTAGCTTCCCTGGTGAAAAACCTCTGATGCTTTTCTACAGTTCAGTCTCAAAAGGATCCAAATAAATGCTTTGAAGGAACAAAACTTTTTACATTTCAAAAGCATACAACTGTTACTGTCCTCTATACGGCTACCAAATAAAATGCCACTTACCGCTCAAATTCCCTCAGAATGCAACTACTCACCACCCAACCAGTAAGGGCATGCTCCACCTCCAGTTTAATCTCAAAACAACAGCTGAAACTCTTCTTTTTAAACTTAAATTTGATCATTTCCCACCTCTGCTCAAAGCCTTCCAATGTTTATTTAGAGTAAGCCCAAGTCTTCACATGGCCTCCCAAGATCTGGATATAAAACATGGGTCTGTAAATTGGCTCATGGTCCACCTCTGTGTACAGCCCACAGCGGTAAGAATAATTTTTACATTGTTGAGTAGTTGGAAAAAATCCAAAAGTAGCGTATCTTGTGACATGTGAAAATTATATGGAGTTCTATCCAACTGTCATGTCCATAAATGAAGATCCACTAGAACACAGCCAGATTCACCACATGCATTGGTACTTTGTGCTACACCCTTTCTGTATGGCATGTGAAGCAAATCTAAAATAATTATAATCTGGTTCTTTACACAAAGAATTTGCAGACTCCTGCCCTAAAGGACCAGTGTATGTAAGGAATTAACTTCTCCCTATACATCTACAATGGAAGCACTGAGAAAACAGTCACTCAAATTATCTGCTAAATCTTCCGGTATAGATGAGGAATCTCGACTGAGAAAAGGTATGCAGCCACCAAGCCCAGCCACTTCCCTGTGGTTCACGACCATGGCCAGTATTCTCCCTTCAAAACCTTTACCTGCTTTCCTCTGGGTTCAGGATGCTTCTCCAAAATATCCTAGGCTTGCTTCCTCACCTCCTTCAAGTCTTTACTCAAAGGTCATCTATCAGGTGGGGCCTTCCCTGACCACCCCACTCAAAACTGCACTCCACTCTCATTCCCCTTTTCTGCTCTATTTTTCTTAATGCTTCATACCAACCGACTGAGTGCATCGATTAACACTGGCTGGTGACTGAGAGAACGTGAGCTCCAGAGAGGCTGGGATTTTTGTCTGTTGTGTTCACCACTCCATATATCCCTACCACTTAGAGGAGTGCATGTCATATAGTAGACACTCAACAACAACAACAACAAATCATTGAATTGTATTCCCCCCTTTTACAAGGCTTTGCTTTCCATGGTTAACCCGTGGTCAGTTTCAGTTGGAAAATATTAAATGAAGAATTCCACAAACAAATAATTCCTAAGTTTTAAATTGTGCACTGTTCTAAGTAGCAGAATAAATTCTCATGCCATCCCATTCCGTCCTGCCCCAGAAGTGAATCATGCCTTTGTCCAGTGTATCCATGCTGTCTATCCACCTACTGCCCTCTTGCTTATCAGATCCATTGTGATATGCTATCACAGTTCCTCAGTTCAAGTCACCCTTAGTTTACTAATAATGGTCCCAAAGCATAAGAGTAGTGAAGCTAGCAATTCAGATACGGCAGAGAGGCCATAAGCACTACCTTTAAGTAAAAAGGTGAAAGTTTTTGACTTCTTATGGAAAGAAAAAAAAAAATCTTATACTGAGGTTACTAAGATCTACAGTACGAACAAATCTTCTATCCATGAAAATGGAAACAAGGAAAAAGAAATTCCTGACAGTTTGTCGTTTCGCCTCAAACTGCGAAAGTTGCGACCACAGTTGTAAGTGCTTAGTTAAGGTGGAAACGGCATTACATTTGCGGGTGGAAGAAATGAGCAGACACATGTTCCAATTGACAGCAATTGGGTCTGGTACTATCCACGGTTTCAGGATCCACTGGAGAGTCTTGGAATGTACCACCTACAGCTAAAGTGGGACTACTGCATATGCAAGGATCCACCTCCCCATTAACAGCAACCATGATACCTTATACCAGCATAATCGACAATACCAACCAGAAATATACAAGGGAATGGAATAGTATTTGGTAACCATCCTTAACCAAACTACTATTTAATAAACTTGTTGATTCCATTCAGCCTTCAATGAGTCTTAAAAAATCAAATGATGGGCCGGGCGCGGTGGCTCACTCCTGTATTCCCTGCACTTTGGGAGGCCGAGGCGGGCGGATCACGAGGTCAGGAAATCGAGACCATCCTGGCTAACACGGTGAAACCCCGTCTCTACTGAAATACAAAAAATTAGCCGGGCGCAGTGGCGGGCGCCTGTAGTCCCAGCTACTCGGGAGGCTGAGGCAGGAGAATCGCGCGAACCCGGGAGGCGGAGCTTGCAGTGAGCCGAGATGGCGCCACTGCACTCCAGCCTGGGCGACAGAGTGAAGACTCCGCCTCAAAAAAAAAAAAAAAAAATCAAATGATGCCCACTACCAATGTGAAATAAGGCGAGCCTTCCAATTCTTCTTTCACAGAAATTAACTTCTACAAAACCTAGTCAGCGTTTATCATATATTGTCCTAAAGCTGGAAACAAAATGAAAAATAAGCCACAGTTATCGCCCTCCAGAAAATTAAACTTGGCTGGAATTTCAACAGACTACCAAATAATTATAGTAAAATTTGTGTAATAAAGGATGTCGATAAGCAATCACAAGAAGCAACTCATGGTCTGGGAAAGCAAAGGAGGAAATATTTGGGTTTGACTTTATAAAATAAAAAGACATTCCAGGCAAAATGCATAATGGGCACCCAGCCATGGAGGCTCAGTAAGCATGTGAAGTGCTACAGAACGAAAGATTCTGTAAGCCTGTGTCCCGAGAGTGTGAGCAGGAAAAGGTACAGGAGATAAAGTGAGGAGTCTGTAAAAATAAACAGAAATTTTACTCTGCAGGAAATGTAAACTCACAGAAGGTTTTAAGTAACTGGACTACTGACAATTTAGGCCTTCCTCTCAGGGTGGAGGCACCGAGGATATAACCTTGTAGTACTACACCGAAGGAAGATCCCTGAAAACCAAATGGAAAGTAAATTATGTTTGAAGTAAGGTAAGCTAAGTGTTGAAATTCCGGGAGTTAAAATATTTTAAGCTAGAAAGTTCCTAAAAGCCATTAATAAAATACACTTTTATTTTTCATGGGCAAAGTTATATAGGGACCTCCAGGTCTCCTTGGCTTGGGCTTTACAATCAAGAAACCCGAAACCGTAAAACTTCATCTCCGTTTAGCTCAGATCCATATCTAAGAACGGCCTAAGGAAACCAGCAAGCAAAACAATTTTGTCATAGGACTCCGGAGGCCCCTAAGAGACCACATCAGTCCAACCTGGGCCCATTGGAGGGGAACGAGAGGGATTCTAGTAGGTGCAAAGAACGAAACTTGGCTTGTAGGGGCTGTGGCTGCAAATGCCAAAAGCCCCGGATATACGGCAGGTGCGAGGGGACCCAGGTTTACAGGGCAGGCTGGGCCGGTGCCCGGGGCGGATGGGGAACGGGGGCGCTAGGAGACACTCCTGGAACACCCTAGCCCTCCCAGTCCCTGGCCTCCCCCCCTTATTGTTTCTAGCCCGGCGGCATAATCCACAGCGCCCAAGCCCGATCCAACCCTCGAGGGGACGTCAGAACATGAGTAAGTCGGCGCCCTCTTACCCAGACACACAAACAGCACGGACTTGGTAGCCTGTTCCGCCATCTTTCCGCGCGCAAAAGCGCCAACAGACCGCGGCGTTCCGCACGCCGACGCGGCGCATGCGCACTGCCAGCCTCTCGCCCTGCGCGCCGGCGCAGTCCCGCACCAACGCCGCCAGGGCAAGGCGTGCTGGAGCCACGCCTGCGCAATCGGCTGCAGTGCGCCTGCGGGGGCGGTTCTGCGACGGTCTGAGGGCGGGTGGGGAGGGTCCGCGGGTTAGCTGCGAGGACTGGGCCGTCGTTCACCTGCAGGGGCGGGGCTGCAGGTTGTCCGAAGGAGGAGGAACCGCGGGGTGGGGTCACCTGGAGGGAGTAGGGCCGCAGAAGGCGGGGGGGGGGGTCACCTAAAGGGGGCGGGGGTCACCTGGAGGGGGCGGGGGTCACCTGGAGGGGGCGGGGCTGCGGGTCGCTTGGAGAGGAAGGAGCCGCGGGAGATAAAGGTTACCAGAAAGGGCGAGAGTCACCTGCGGGGCGGGCTCAGGCTCGGCGGCTCCGCGGACGGCCCACCTGGGTTGGGGCACAGCGCGAGTCCCGCGCACGTGGCTGGCTGTGGCGCGCGTCGTCCGAGTTCCCAGAGAGAGGCTGGCTGGGTCAGGCGGGGGAACCTGGCTTGAGCCCCGCAGGGTCCACGCCGGACCAGGGCGGGCCTGAGCCTGGGCACCCCCCCGGGACCCCCACTCCCAACGCCGTGCTTGGAGCCGCCGCGGGGCCCTGGGCTTTTCGATCTTAAGCACGGGGCGGTTCCGAAGTCCCCGGGGGCGAAGGCCCGAGCGCGGCCCGGCGGGGGCGTGGGTTTTGTCCGCCAAACATACGCGGCAGGTGTCCTGCGCCGCCGCCTCCCTCACCTGCCGCAGGTACGCCCTCACTGGGGCCTCCCAGTCCGCGGGGCGGGGCGGCGCGCCTTCCTCTTCCTGGGACCGGGCGCCACGGCCGGGCGGGCACCAGTGAGTACCGGGGTCCCACCTGTCCTGCTGCCCCCTCCCCTCTCAGGAGCTGGGCGGTGGTGGGAGGAGGAGGGCGGGAACACCGACGATGCCTCTGGGGTTTCTAGGTCGCGTGTCTGTTAACCGCAAACCGCCCAAAGTTGAGCTAGAGCAGCTCCCAGGACTTTCTTGACCACAGCGATTTTGATTGAAGTGTAGCCACCGTCTTTTCCATTTTTAGAAAAGCTTTCCCGAAGTTTGGAATGCTGACGATGGTCGTGTTATTTTTAACTTCCTGATATTTGAATGGCCAGGTGTCAGCGACCATCCTTCCCTTCCACGGAGGCGGCTCTGAAGTTTGGGTCGGATGGCGCGCTTGGAATGCGCGTGGAGGCCTTGAGTAGGGCTCCGGCGAGGTTCGAGTTTGCCCGCCCCGCGACCTGAAAGAGAAGGGCCAGCCCTTCACACCCGGAAGGGAAGGGCCAGTGCCCCCAACACCTGGCGCCGGGGGTCGCTGGGCCGCGGGGTCGTGGCAAGCAGGGGTCCTCTCAGATTGCTGGGCCTGAGCGCTGGCTGCTGAGTTTTTCCTTCGTTAAGGAAGTGTGAAACTGGTCTGAATCGGTTGACCACCGTAAGGAAATGGGATTTACACTGTGGACAGAGATGTGTCCTTTTTACTTCATTTGAACCAATATGCTCGTGCCCCCATGGAGGCTGAGTTGGAAAGTGATAGGAAGCTGCCCCCGCAAGAGAGTAGGTGCTCGGTTTCTCTTCTGCTTACAGGAGATGCATGTCCTGATTTCTCGTTCTCCTAGGTGTTTTTATTGAGATGTAGGGAATATATGAATTCATAACGACTTAGAAAATCTGTACACATAGTTGAGAGAAATAACAGGTCTCGAGGCTAAGGTGCTGTTTACTCCCATGGGCTGGCCTCTTATTAAAATACTTGGGCAGCGATTGATGTTTACAAATTACTATGTTGGAGGTTAAAATGATCAGAGTGATAGCCTCCATCCTGTCTATCATGTTTAAGGAGAATTGGTTATTTAGTTCACTAATGTTCTATTTAAACAAAATTTCTGTAAAACTAGTAAATGTTACCCCACATTCTTTGTAAGTTAAAAAAAAAAAGTTTAATGTTTGCTCATCAAAAGTGATTTGATACTTTTGTTCTGTTTAGGAAATCTTTATTCTCAGATTTCTCATTCTGCAGAAATAAGGATCTGGCATGTCAACACAAACATAGGACGTTGATGCAGTCAAAGGGAAATAACTGCTGCCCTGACTCTGCTGAGAGCCTCACAAGTCCCTGTGCACGCCAGCTTATTTGCCAGTGAGTGGCGTCATGATGAGACATAATTCTCTGCTCTTTGAGACCTAAGTACATGAAGTTTTTAAAAAGATTTTCTTTACTCTAAAAGATCAGACCAGTGTGGCATGTGTGGACCTGCTCTGTACCAAGATCACACTTTTCAGCTGGAGAAGAGGGATGGCAGGGATAAATAAAGGGCTTTCTTATCTCCCGAGGGAGCAGAGAAACCTCTCTCTGTCCTCTTCCTTCCCCTGTGGCTGGGTTCCGGGGACTGGAAACAAGCTCAGGCTAGCACTTGATGTTCAAATGGTAGTCTGGTTTAAAGTATGACTGGGGAAGTTAATGATCTGACCAGAGAGACAGGTTTTTATTTTGAGAACTGGCAAACTTTGTTTCCTTAAAACAAAGGAAGTAGTTAAACCAAGGCCACAGAAAGGTAAGAATTGACTTGAGAAACAAAGGCCATAGTTGTCAAGCAGTGAGGTTCAAAATGCAGTTTTGTTAATAAAAGTAGCTTAAGGCAACATTTGAAAACCTCTTCAAAGATTAGATACAACACTTTCTTTTGGCTAAGATTTCTTCAACTTATTCTAAATATATCTTTAGCAGCATTCTAGTTCCTTTGATCTTAGATGGAATTTTATCAGTTTAGTGAGTTAATCTCCATTTCACATTAAGTATAAGGTTTAATAATTTGATGAATATGTAATCAATAAGAACTTGGAAAACCAAATTTACTAAGCTTGCTTTCCTGTAAGTATTCCTTTCATAATTAGAGTCCATTGAAGAAAATAATATAAGGGAAGCAAAAGTTTGGAAATCTGAACTCTGTTAATGAAAGTGGTGGAGAGGGGCCCTTGGGTCTTCTTGCTTTCATTCCTGACCCTCCGTGGAAGACTAGATTGGAAACCGTAGTCAACTTTCTCACCTCAGGTGGCAGTTGGCTCCAAGTGGGATTCTCATGTCCGTGTTTGCCCCCAGTGGCTCTAGCATTGAGTTTATAGACCTGTGATCAATACCTAAAATTATTTCCAGATCTTAAGCTGATTTACACTTTTGAGGTTTCCAAAGAAAAAATTTTGTTTACCGTATTTTATAAGCCCTTCTAATTTAAAAAATGTGTTACTATGAAAATTTCAAACATTTTAACTTTTTTTTTTAAAGAAAACTTTATCTGAAAGTTTATTAGCTTGAGGTTTGGCAGCCACCCTTTTTTTTTTTTAGGGAAAAACTTAAATATTTATAGAGATTTTGCATGATTCAAGGGGCTTAAGATGTTTATGAGAGTGCAAATTCTAACCACGATATGAGGTTTAAGAGGCTTCATTAGTAATGACCTGTGTCTTCGTAACTTTGGCCATATGATAGAATGGGACATCAGCACTCTGAACAGGTCATGCTCTATATGCCTTATGGTATAGCAGAAGAAAAATGGGTGAGCCATCATTTAATGCTGAGGATGGGATTTGAGGCTTATATCTACATTTTTATTTGCATATGTTTTTGTTCTGACAGAGAAATTCACTGCATGTAACTATGACTAGGCATGATTTTATCAGAAGTTGATTAGAATCTGTAACGTTTTCTGTAGTTCAACTGACACACTGAAGATGTCCTTACTGTGCCCAGCCTTGTCAACAGCTGGATCACAGTGACACAGGCTGTGTCTAGGATGAGTCTTGTGGTCTGCAGCTGTGCGAGGCTGCATCTGATTCCCAAGTCCAATGGCTCTCTTCTTGTGTTTACAAATCAGGCCATGACCTTTCCCTACAGCAGGATGTTTGCAAGATCAACTCTCAACTGAGGAATTTGCTTATTTGACTGCTCTAATACTGCTTGGTTGAGAGTTCAAAGTAGAAAGTCTTCTGAGGGGATAAGATTTATGTATTATTTACAGTGCTTCAGTTGCATGTATCAGAAAATCTAGTCTAAATTGGCTTTAACAGAAAAAGATGTTGCTGGTCCATTTGACGAAGAAGTCTAGAGCTGCTGTGACTTCAGTCTGGCTCTGCAGAGCCCAGGTTCTCTCTCCACCTCCTGCCAGGCTCCCCTACCAAGGCTTTACTCTCAGACTCTACCCCCGTGGAGACAAAAATCCCACAGCAAGTGGAAACAGAAGTGCCTTGGAAAAAGTTCTTCTGGCAGCTCCTACACAAGTCCTGCATCAGATGCTGGTATTGGACCAGCTTTGGTTATAAAGCCCTGCTGTGGCACAAAGAGGAATGTTGTCCTGATACAGCAGCCTCGGGTCACCCACTCCACTCTGGATACTATGGCTGCAGCATCAATGGAAGCAGACAAGTTGTGCTGCCTCTGAAATAAAGTAGATGAAATATTCAGCAGCAGAAAGAACAAGTTTCCACTCCAGTGAACTAATTCAAATGTATCCAGCATCTAGATATATGTATAATATGTATATATGTAATTAAAATGTATTGAACATCTAGAGCATCTCTCCCAAGATAATTACCACCTGACAGTAATGGCTATAAAAGCTAAAAGTGGAATCAGTCTACATGTTTAGCAATAGGAATCAGTTGAAGCATACATCAAAATGCAGGCAGTAGTATTGGTGGGTATTAATGTTATAGATGCTTTTTATCCTTCATATTTGCATATCTATACTTTTTCCTGTATTTTACAGTGTACTTGTGCTTTGTACAAATAATTGCTGATCATGTAAAAATATAGAAATATAGAAATTTTGTTGCCATACTTGGGTCTTTTGCACTATAAAGTTGAAAAATAATTCTATAATTCCTGGTTCTTTTATAATTTGATATTTGACATTCTAAATGAATTTGGAGTTTCATCTTCAATGAATTTGGAGTTTGTAACACAAAGCCATGAATGAATTTTTTGTGTTTCTCCCCAAATGAACATTATCTAGTATGCAATACATCATTTCAACATAGAATTGAAATGTCATTTTTATTATATATTAAATTTGTAAAATATATTTGGGTCAATTTCTGAATTTTCTTCTTTGTACATTAATTTTTGTCCTACATTTGCATCTGCTATTATGTATTAATTACTGAGGCTTTGTAATGTGTCACAGATTCTGTCAAGGCTGGGCTCTCGTTGTTCTTTCTTTACGTATTATTTCCTAGCTCTTCTTGCTTATTTTCCCATTTGAAATTGGAAATTACTGTGTTTTTTTAAAAGACCCTTGTAAGATAGAAGACAGATTTGAAAGAAAAAACAGAAAAAAAAGCAAATTCAAAAGACAAGTAACAGGGAGTCAATGTTTTTAAATCATATTCCAGAAAAAATATTAATTTTTTAATGTATAATACGAAACAGAGAGAAACCCCCTGTAAATAGACAAGGTGCATGAAAAACCTTTGCTGGAAATGTAGTCAGCATTGCTCATCATAAAAGAACAAATGGAAAATGCACTGAGAGCTACTGGCCATGGCAGTGAAACAGCTCCTGTTACACTCATGGTAAACAGCTAGGAAAATAGGCAACTGTGTGTAGAGCACTGTTTGCGCATGTTGGACATGTCTGAGATCCATAAGATAAGGGGAACAGGAGGTGAACTCCATTAGTGATCATTTTCTGCCTGGAGCACTTCCTAAACTGCAGGACAAGGAAGGGGCACCCAGAGCCCAGGCTCCTGCTGAAACGAAGAGGCAGAAACAGTCTGAAGAGGCTGAGGTAACTGGAATTTGCAGAGCATGTTACTAGCAATGAGGGACGGCTGAGAGAAAGAGCTCCAGAAATCTGCAAAGGGATCCCCCTGAGCCTTCGGCTGAATATTAAGTGCTATCTGTGTAGGGTGAAATTTGCAAAGCAGGGCAAGAACAACTGCCATGAAGCTTTGAGGTGAACTATTCACAGTGCTTGCATCAGGCTGGGGACAGCCATTCCAAACAGCCACAATGGGGAGAGCTTATTAAACAACCAGGGCACCCAGGAGAGAACCCAGAAGGGACACACCTGATGGGTAAAATAGTTCTAAAGACTACTCTAGACACACAAACAGAACACAACAATAAGCCAACAAATGATCAAGCTGATCTGCAAGTAACTCACTGCCTGCTAACACAAGTGTCAACACTTTTAAGGGAAGCAATGAAATCTAGGCACTCAACATGGTAATATCTACAATGCTGTTTTACTAGAAAGGAGTAAAAACAGGAAAACATAACGCAGAGCTAGAAGAAGAATCAGTCAAAAACAGATCTAGAAATGGCAGACTATGCAATGTAAAACACCTATTTAACACACAAAAATAAAATACCTAAGAATATAGGTAACCAAGGAGGTGAAAGATCTCTACAACAAGAATTACAAAGCACTGCTGAAAAAAATCAGAGATGACACAAACATGGAAAAACATTCCTTGCTCAAGGATAGGAAGAATCAATATTATTAAAATTGCCATACTGCCTAGAGCAATTTATAGATTCAACACTATTCCTATTATACTACCGATGCCATTCTTCACAGAATTAGAAAAGAAAACAAAACTATTTTAAAATTCGTATGGAACCAAGAAAGAGCCCAAATAGGCAAGGCAATCCTAAGCAAAAAGAACAAAACTGGAGGCATCATGCTACCTGACTTCAAACTATACTACAAAGCTACAGTAATGAAAGCAGCATGGTAGTGGTACAAAAACAGACACATAGACCAATGAACAGAATCAAGAGCCTAGAATTAATGCTACGCACCTACAATCATCTGATTTTTGACAAAGTCAACAAAAATAAGCAATGGGGAAAGGACTCCATATTCAATAAATGGTGGTGGAATACCTGGCTAGCCATATGCAGAAGACTGAAACAGGACCTCTTCCTTACACCATATGCAAAAAAATAAATTAAAGATGGATTAAAGACTTGAATGTTGTTAAAAACTTCAGCTGAATTAAATTTTAAGGAGTTTAATTGAGCAATGAATGATTTGCAAGTTGGACAGTCCCCAGAATCACAGCAGATTCAGAGAGACTCCAAGGATGCCTCATGGTCAGAACAAATTTATAGACTTAAAAAAAAAGGGGGAAGTGATATACAGAAATCAGAAATGAAGTACAGAAACAACTGGATTGGGTACAGCTCATCATTTGCCTTATTTGAACACTCAGCAGTGTATGAGTGGTTGAAGTATGGCTGCTGGGATTGGCCAAGACTGAGCTATTGTTACAGATGCATACTCCTAAGTTAGGTTCTCAATTTTGTCTACATATTAAGTTAGGTTGCAGTTCGTCTACAAGGACTCAAATATTGAAGTATGGAGTCCTCAGGTCATATTTAGCCTGCTTTAACAATGTAAAACCTAAAACTATAAAAACTCTGGAAGATAACCTAGGAAATTCCATTGTGGACGTAATCCCTGGCAAAGATTTTATGATAAAGATACCAAAAGCAATTACAACAAAAACAAAAATTGACAAATGGGACCTACTTAAAGAGCTTCTGAACAGCAAAAGAAACTATCAACAGAGAAAACAGGCAACCTACAGAATAGAAGAAAATATTTGTAAGCTATATATCCAACAAAGGTCTAATATCCAAAATCTATAAGAAACTTACTTTAACAAGCAAGAAAACAACTCCGTTAAAAAGTGGTTAAAGGACATGGACAAAAGATTTAAACAGACACTTTACGAGATATAGGAATAGGAAAAAGTGTTCAACATCATTAGTCATCTGAGAAATGAAAAATCCACAATGAAAGGCCACTATGTACCCATTAAAATATCTAAAATTTTAAAAACTGGACATTGAAAGTGTTTGTGAGAATATGGAATAACCAGAACTCTTATAAGTTTCTGGTGGAAGCCTAAAATGTATAATCACTTTAGAGAACTCTTACGTGGCTCCTTACATTGCTAAATACACATTTACCACATGAACTGGCAATTCCTATCTTAGGTAATTACCCAAGAGAAATAAAACATTTTTTCTTTTTCTTTTTTTTTGAGATGGAGTTTCACTGTTGCTGCCCAAGCTGGAGTGCAAAGGCACCATCTTGGCTCACTGCAACCTCCAGGTTCAAGCAATTCTCCTGCCTCAGACTCCCGAGTAGCTAGGATTGCAGGCACGCGTCACCACGTCAGACTAATTTTTTGTATTTTCAGTAGAGATGGGGTTTCACCATGTTAGCCAGGCTGGTCTCCAACTCCTGACCTCAGGTGATCCTCCTGCCTCAGCCTCCCAAAGTGCTGGGATTACAGGCATGAGCCACCGTGCCCGGCCATAAAACATTTTTTCACAAAAGGCTTACAATGGAATATTTATAGCAGTTTTATTTATAATAGCCAAAAGCTGGAAAGAACCCAATTGTCTATCAACAGTGACTGGAAGGACAAATTGTGCTATGTCCACACATTAGAATACCAGTTGGCACTCAAAAAGGAAGAGCTGATCTATGCAGCAATGTGAGTGAGTCTCAGTAATTTCATGTGAGTAAAATAAGCTAGATAGAAAAGAACACACACTGATGACTACAGGAAATTCTGGCACAGACAAAATTCATACTCAGTGACAGAACTCAGATTGGCACCAACCTGAGGCAGGGACTGGGTACAGGAGTGACCACTGCAGAGGGCATGGATGGAGTTGTCGGGGTGGTCTCTACCTCTCTCTGTCCATACCCACTGAGCTATACCTGTAACAGGTAGGTTTCGTTTTGTAAATTGTGTCTCATGAAGTTGATTTGAAAAGCCTACACTAAGAGGCAATATTTTAACCATTCTGAGATAATTTAAAAATGCAACGTGCCAAAATACACTAATGCTGTGATGCCACTTGTTTTTAAAAGGAGTAAAGAGCTACACACATGCATCATGCACACTTAATTTTGCATAAAGTATCTATGGAAATACCTTCCTCTATCTTACTTAATGCCATTGATGATTCTTGGGATGGATTTTTTTCCTGATTTGATACTAATACTCCTGTGTTGAGCCACAAAGAACTGATACTGACATCTTTTAAATAAATTAAAATAGAACTCCAAAATGACCCTAAATCAGTTCTAACTTTTTAAAATTTTATTTTATTTTGAGACAGGGCCTTGCCCTGTTGCCCAGGCTGGAGTGCAGTAGCCCAGTCATAGCTCACTGCAGCCTTAAACTCCTGAGTTCAAGTAATCCTCCTGCCTTAGCCTCTTGGGTAGCAAGGACTTAGGTGCACGCCACCATGCCTGGCTAATTTTTAAAATGTTTTATTGGTAGAGATGGGGTCTCACTATGTTGCTCAGGCCGGTCTCAAACTCCTGGCCTCAAGTTATCCTCCTCCTTTGGCCTCCCAAAGTGCTGGGAGTACCCAGCCAGTTTTCACTTTTAAAATAAATTACATCTTTCAAACATACCAAGCACCAAAATACATCACATTTTATTAGAAATATTTATATTTTCTTAAATAAAAGAAAGTGATTTTTTCCCCTATGCTCTTTGAGCATTTGATCTGTTGAAAGAGTAAACCATGAGTTTACACTTGAGATCTGACACAGGTCTTAAGCAATTTTAGAAGTTTATTTTGTCAAGGTTAAGGATGGCCCATGACACAGCCTCAGGAGGTCTTGACGACCTGTGCTCAAGATGATCTGATTATAGTTTGGTTTTATACATTTTAGGGATACATGAGACATCAATCAATATATGTAAGATTGATTAGATCCAGAAAGGCGGGACAATTCGAAGTGGGGAGGGGGCTTCCTGATCATAAGTAGATAAAAGACAAACAGTTGCATTCTTTTGAGTTTCTGATTAGTCTTTGAGTATGCGATTTACAGGAATAGTCACTTACGCCTTAGTCTGGCTTAGTGAAACAAACAGTGCAAAGGAAACAATAGATATGCATTTGTCTCACGTGAGCAGAGGGAAGAGTCTGAGTTCCATCTTTTGTCCACAGGGAATTTCCTTGTGGCAAATTGTGAGGGAAGTGTGTAGCTTACCTTTGTAGCTATCTTTTTAGGAACAAAATGGGAGGCGGGTTTGCCTGACAAGAGTTCCCAGCTTGACTTTTCCCTTGGCTTGGTGATTTTGGGGTCCTGGGATTTATTTTCCTTTTACAAAAGCAAGCTTCCATTAGCGTACTTCATCTACATTCTGTAAATTACTGAGGTGAAACAGTGGAAATTAATGCCTTCGACCTTCTAGATCCTGACATCCTGCAGTACAGTCACACATGAGCCTCTTAACTGTAGTCAGTGAGACAAGAACTTCTCAGCCTCAGGGCTCTCGTGGTCCTGCACTGAAACACTCAGCTTCTTCGCTCTGCTGATTCCTCGTCCAGTGACAAAAGAATAGTCCATCTTCTCTGATACACTTCAGAGCTGGAAGAATTATGTGAGCTTTTTTATGACAAGCCCTCCAATGAGTGTATAAATGTCCAGGTGACACTAAAAACATAAAGTGCCATAGAAATGCAGGCCAGCATTACTTGTAGACTCAATTCCCAAGTCTCCTAGAGTTTTACTCATCGGAAAGTCTACAGGCAGCCAGTTCCAACATTTTTGACAAGAACAACAAAATATATTAAATTTTATACTACATATTATAGATACAAAATATATTTATTTTTAAATTTTAAATTCTTATTTTAAGTTGGTATTGAAGTCTGTTAATTGCAGGAAGAAGATACATAACAGAGGTTTGGCCAGGTTTTGTTTAACATCCTTTGGGGCCCACGGATTTTATAATTTCTGAGATTCTGAGAGTTTAGAGTTTCCCACTCTCAGCATAGATTTTATTTATTAGTAGAAAGAGAGATGATATTGTCAATGAGCATTTCCAGTTCATTTCCTTTGATAGGCTATGCTGTGTTAATGCTTCATTGTGTTACCAAAAAGGGGTCCCGATCCAGACCCCAAGAGAGGATTCTTGGACCTCGCGCTAGAAAGAACTCAGGGCAAGTCCATAAAGTGAAAACAAGTTTATTAAGAAAGTAAAGGAATAAAGAAGGGCTACTCAATAGGCAAGCAGTGGCATGGACTGCTCAACTAAGGATACTTATAGTTATTTTTCAATTACATGCTAAACAAGGAGTGGATTATTTGTGAGTTTTCTGGAAAAGGGGTGGGCAATTCCCAGAACTGAGGGTTCCTCCCCTTTTTAGACCATGTAGGGTAACTTCCCTACATGTTCCCTTGTAAACTGTCTTGGCACTGGTGGGAGTGTCTGTTGGCAGCTGATGCATTAGAATTAGTGTATAATGAGCAGTGAAGATGACCAGAGGTCACTTTCATTGCTGTCTTGGTTTTGGTGGATTTGGCCTGCTCCTTTACTGCATGCTGTTTTGTCAGCAAGGTCTTCATGACCTGTATCTTGTGTGGACCTCCTGTCTCATCCTGCGACTTGGAATGCCTAACCTCCTGGGAATGCAGCCTAGTAGGTCTCAGCCTTATTTCACCAGCTCCTATTCAAGATGGAGTCTCTCTGGTTCAAACACTTCTGACAATTGTATATGGGAAGAATGAAATTATAATAAATTTCTCACTTCTATTTAGCAGAATTTTTGATTAAAATATCTTTTTTTATCTTTCAGTGAATAACCCTATACCTTCCAATTTGAAATCAGAAGCAAAAAAGGCTGCCAAAATATTAAGAGAATTCACAGAAATAACTTCCAGAAATGGACCTGATAAGATCATTCCTGGTAGGTAAATAGGATGAGTGCTGTTCATCTCTAAATGTTTTTTTCCTAAGTTGTTTTTTGCATTGTTCAACACTCCATTTCAGGCAGAAGCCTCTATCAATGCCAACAAGTAGTTCCTCCACCTTTTTTCTCATGGCTGATCCAGGGATGCTCTGGAAACCACTACCTGTTCATTACCACTTCCAGTTATTTCCAAAGGGTGTTCACAGCATAACTTGTTTCATGCCAAGGAGATCCAAATGCCAATTCACTTTGGCAGTGTTACAGACCAGCCTCCCTCTTAATCAATCACAGCACATGACTCTGAGCTCTGTTTTAAAAATTTGTTATTGATAGAATAATCTTAATAATGATAGTAATTATTTTTGCATTCCTGTCACTTCTCCCATCATGAGAAAACAGTCCTCATAGACCCTTGCTACTCCAGGTGCAAGGGGTCTGGACAGGGCCAACTGCAGACCAGGCAAACCAGCAGGGCCTCTTCCCTCCCTGTCTCTCCCTTTTGCTTAGGCTTTTTCTCCTGCCTCCCACCCCGGGGTGCCAGTGCCCCAAACACCACATGTTTCTGTTCCACTTCAGCTCTCTGCAGCCTTGTCTGTCCTTCGCATTGCGTGCTAAGGACTCTGCAAGCTAACCTCGCAAACTCACCAGCTAATCTCATACATAAATTTTAATTTTGTGTTTCCTCCTTCCACATAAGACATTTACATTCTCTAGTGGTTTAAGACATTAATCAGTAATTCCCAACACAGATGTGCATCAGTATCCCCTAGACCGTAAAAGCACAGTTCTTAAGCCTCATTCCAAACCTGCCGACTCAGACTTTTAGTGCAGTGTGTCCAGGAATGCATGTTTTAAACGTGTTTCTCATGTAATTCTTAAGTAGTCAGTGACACATAAGATCGGTCCAGAGGGGAGCCTTTGAAAACCACTATCTGTTCATCAGCACTTCTAGTTATTTCCAAAGGGTGTTCACAGAATACTTGTCTCATGCCAATTAGCCTGGACACTGTTACAGACCAGCCTCCCTCTTAATCAGAGTACATGACTCTGGGTCCTGCATTAAAGAGATAAGTTTAATTTTTCTAAGCCAGATATCTAAAGTTATGTAATAAAACTTTAATATTTTAAAAATTTATTATTATTTTAATAATCTTAATCATGATATTAATTATTGTTGCATTGGCCCGGTGACTCCTCCTGTCTTGAGGAAACAGTGCTTGGTAGAGCCTTGCTACTCCAGGTGCAGTCTGAATCTGCAGCTTGACATCCCCTGGGAGCTTGTGAGAAATCTGGTCAGATGTCACAAATCAGTCTGCATTCCTCCCAAGGTCCCAGTGAAGTACACAACCATACTAGTTTCAGAAGCGCTGCTTTAGAGCTTAAAGAAAACTCAACAAGAAAAACTAGATTTTCAGTATCAGTATTCTGAAGGAGCCCCTGTCAGTGGGTGAAGCTCAGAAAAAGAAATTCTGTTTGCATGTTAGTCTAAGTAATAGATTACCCCAAGGCGTGGGTGTGGCAAAGACAGAAGTTCCACAGCCAACAGAGATCCAGGCCCACATCTCCTTAGAGTCTGGTGGGGGGCATTATATTTACATTAAAACAAAGATGCTATTTCATAGGATAAGCAATTGAATCTACAAAACATTTAAGCAAGACATCTAGATCTTGAGACCTTCCCAGTGGTGTGTTTGGCCTCCTCTAATGTTAGGATTCTAAGAAGTAAGTGAAACTTAATTTAGCAATTAAATCTATAATTGGTACATTCTATGTTATAAATCAAAAGCTAATTGGTAGATTATTCAGTGATTATTATTATTTTAGTGTCCCTGAATTTGAGTGGAAATCTATAAAAATATAATTGACATGTGGAATATGTTCATTTTAAAACATGCTTTTGTTAATATCTAGTATTCCCAATAGGGGCAATAGCAACTCTGGAAGCATTGAGAATAGAATGTGAGGAAGACATTCTGCCAACAAGTGGCTATAAAAATAAACCTGCATGACATATTATACAGCTTTTAATCTTATTACAATATAATTATAACCTTTTAAAATACAAAAATAAAGTACACTTAGTAGACAGCCATCCAGGATGCAACCTTATTTTCTGTAGCTTTCTTATTAAGAACAGCTCCACGAATGTTCTGCATGTGAACTTCATGGTGTTGGATGAATTATTTCTAAGAGTCGGTTCTTAGTTTAAACTTTGAAATGGTGGCATAATTACATGAGAATTTTAGTGTTCTCTTGGGGCATCTGCAAAGCCTTTGCTCTGTGTACTAGAGCCCCATGTCTGACTTCACTTCCTTGGCAGAATATTTGACAAAAATAATAATAAATTAAGGTACCTTAAAGTTATATGATAGGCTTCCCGTGTTAGTTTGAACGAGGTATCATTGTGTCACAAATTCACAGAATCCTGTGGGACTGTATTCATTGGATACATATACTAATAACCCTCATTTTATGTAATGAACATTTCTGAAATGTGAATAAACCAATATTTTTAAATGGAATTATATTATCAGTGTACTAATAGTTAAATGGTACTCAAATGCTATAGCGGATCATTTTATAAAGTTAAAAATGGTTTAACATTGAAAAATTACTTAATTTTTCTGGTTTTGAATCCAACTTTTTAAATTAATACAAGGTTAATTTAGCTACATGGCTTTAAGATCAAAGTTCTAATTCATGCTGCCTTTTTGTAATTTTTAAAGTTTCTCCTTAGTACTATATGGATCTTAATTTCATTGAAAATGTAACTTTTATCTTCTATGTTGTGCACTATATCCTAAATTAATTGAAATTGCCAAAATATTTGCAATGCTAGCAGATATCAATAAAATCTCATTCAAATATCTAATTAATTTTGTCAGTTACAGGATTTGAGAATATTTCTGATGTTGTGTTTAGCACTGCAAAAATAGCAAACACAAAAAACACATGTGGGAATAGAGAGGCCTCGTGCCCGTTTGTTGAGTGACTGACTTTTGTTCATTGCTCCTGTGTGCCCTGAATTCCTAGGGAGAACCTCTGTGTACACTGACTCTGTTTTACTTTTTTATTTATTTAATTATACTTTAAGTTCTAGGGTGCATGTGCACAACGTGCAGATTTGTTACATATGTATACATGTGCCATGTTGGTGTGCTGCACCCATTAACTCATTTACGTTAGGTATATTTCCTACCTCTGACTCTGTTTAACACTCGATCGTCTATCCAGGCACATCGATCAAAATACTTACCTTCCCATTGTTTTCCGCGTTAACAGCTCATGTAATTGCGAAGGCTAAAGGCCTTGCAATTCTGTCTGTGATCAAAGCTGGCTTCCTGGTGACCGCCAGAGGAGGCAGCGGGATTGTACTGGCGCGCCTTCCAGATGGAAGTAAGTTGGCGTCTGTTCACTGGAGCAGAGAATCTTCGTTCTTTGTTCTGTCTGTTTTCATGTGAACACATTGCATAGCGAGTAGGACAGGTTTCCTGCATATCAACTAAAACTTACGTAATCAGGGCTACTCGACTGAATGTGCAGTTTGGTGTCAGTGAACAAGCCACGGGAACTAGCCTTTCTGTCTCTCTCTGTCCTCAAAATATTAGACAAGACACGACACGTAGATAGATCTAACTTTGTTTTGCATGCATTTTGTAATTCTTCCATGGAGAAAATCTTTAAATATGGCAGCGTGTGCATTTCTTTTGTTTAATATGAATTCTTATTCCTCAGCTTCATGGTATGCTACTTTCTTTTGTTTTATGGAAATTGATGTGAAAATAAGGGGCCATGTGTGAACTTCTTTGTTTCTGTGGTAGATCATAAAAACTGTGACATTTGAAAAATTTTCCCAAGCCAGAATCATACCAAGAGCAGTATCATCGGGTTTTACTTTCTGGGATGAAATCTACTACTTGATTCTTCAGAGATGAATGAAAATATTTGCCATGAATCCCAAGTACTAACATTTATAGTAATATTTAAAATGCACACAGGTGTGTCAAAACCAACTAGAATGTTTTTTATACTGATTTAACATTGGCTGTTCAGTGCACACATTTTCTATTAGTAGCAGTTTTTTAGCATAATTTTATTTTATTTTGAGAGAGCATGGGACACTCACAGACAATAAGTATACAATATATGCATTTGTGAAACATGGCCTGGAAATAGCAGTCAGCAGATTCACCATTTAGCAGTTAGCAGATTCACCATTTCTTCCCAAGGTATCCCCACAGTCAGCAAGAACCTCTTCCTTATTATATGGATCAGTTTTCATAGCTCAGTGTGTGGCTTTGAAAATAGGAAGAAAACAATTCTCTTTTTCTCAAGCATTATCCAAATTTCCATGGGCAGACTTCTCAGCAGTAAAACCAAACAAAGTAGAGGCACATTCCAAGGGGGCCCATTGTCAGATGCGACTCAAAGTCTATGAGAAAGTCCCCGCATGTCTCAGGTCCCCAGCTGCTCCATTGACGGGGTGACTTGCTGACCAAGGGGAGGGACAGCCAATACGAAGCCTTGAGCTCGTCTCAGAGCCCCAGCAAACCTTCCTACTGGTTTCAAAACCTACTTTTCTCTCCCTTCTTCCTGAGCTGCAGCTGCTGACTCTGCTGACAGTAATTTCAAAACTGTCCAAATAAGGCACGACACGTTCCCCTGGATTCCGGCCAAGACCAGCGTCTTAACACGGGGACAGTTCCTAACATAGGGAACAAAAAATTATCAGACACTGATTTCTGTAACCCATACTTCTCTAAGCCTAGGTAGGACAGTTCTGGATATATTCCAGCAGTATTCTATTATCTAGTATGCATGGTAGCAACTATTTTCAAAAAGTGCTTTGGCCAGACCATCCCCCCACCAAATTGAAAATATATTTTTCTAGACTTGTTTAACATGACTGTTTCTGTATCAAGAAAAATAAGCATATAGTAATCCTAAAATGAGCCATATCATGGCAAATAGAATTACTGTACTAAATGTAATTTATCTTGTTAGAATTTTAACAACCTTGAATTTGTAGCCTATTTCTTGTGCTTAAGCATCAGAGGTGTTAGAATAGTTTTTGCCCTCAGAAATGTACAATGGAAACAATTACTATGTTACTGTTAGATAATAAACTCTCTTGAATCCTTCTGATCTCTTAAATCTATGACAGAATTCTAGCTGAAGACTGGAGCTACAGCTAAGTTGTTTTATAAAAGTATTGACAGTTGAAGTTACCAGGTGCTCTGTATGGTTAATGGTTAGGGAACCAATAGTTTGGTCTTATGCATGTTGGTAGAGAAAGATTAGAGGACGTGGGCTTGTAAGGCTATGAGACTGGTAATGAATATCTAATACTTTTCAAATATTTTCAACTTTTTAAAAATTACATATTCTTTTTGAAGAACACTTTAAAACAGGGGGAAATACCAAGTCTCATTATTTTAAATAGAAGCACTCTTTAGATTTTAGCATTTTTCCCTCCTATATTCACATGTTGAGGGTGTTTTAATGTTAGGATAACATTTGTTTGTTTTTTTTATTAGAATGGTCTGCACCCTCAGCCATTGGAATAGCTGGCCTTGGTGGGGGATTTGAAATAGGAATTGAGGTAAGTAGGTTGTACTTGTCCATACAACTGCCATATCCTCTGAAGACACCTAAGATGCAATTCGTGAAAACTGAGAGGTTTCCTAGTGTTCTTGTTGTTACCGTTGGCACCTAGGAAAAATTGTTTCCTTTATTTTCTCAATGAATGTCTAACTAAAGCTATCTGATGGTTCCCATTTTCTTTCCTTTTTTTTCATTAGGAGTAGGGTTTCTTTCATTTGCCATTTTATCTGCTTCTGTCTCATGTACATTTGTGTAACAGGCACATCTCAACACCCGGCCAGCTGTCATTGGCAGTTTATGGACTGCTCATGGCAAAGCCACCCTTCTCCTTCAGTGGACATTGAAATCACGTGGGCAGTGAGTGCATCATCATTTGTGGAAAAATCCAGTTTTGCAACATATGATATTCATATCCCTCCAAATTCTTTAAGTAGAGAAGAACTTCACGTTATTTCAGTTTATAACATTGCTCCTGGGAGTCCGGCGTCTGTCGGGCGGATGTGCATGCTCACAGAGGTCTCCTACGCAGGGATCCTCTTAGGGCTGATGCTCATCTTCAGTCTGTCATTTTGCAAGGGACTGGAAATCGAATCTCCTGGTACGCTCAATTCATTTTCTTCTCAAATTTCAGTCCATTTCTTCCTAAACTATCCTTTGTAGATTTGCCCTGTTGACATAGTTTTAAATTCCCTCAACCTTATTAGGACGAAGTATTTCTAACTCTTCTTTCATCTTTATTCAATCTTTCTTACTCACTGCTGTATAAATCTATAGTATAAAAGAAACATATTTCAGTTTTGCTTATCATGACTGCATTTTTGTACCATATGCAACCAAATCAAAGCTTTCAAAAATATCGCCCTCTGGTGGAAAGTGTATTTTCATCAGAGACTGTGGCTTCCCTCCCTTTCCTTCTCCCTTCCCTCCCTCCCCTCTCTTCCCCTTTCCCCACCCCCACCCAGTCCCCTGGCCCTCCCTGTAGAAGGGCCTTTTTCTGTCAACAGATCATACTGCTAAACTGGGCTGAGTCACAACCCGTTCTTCCCACAACTCTCTGGCTCCTTGTGAGGCTGGGGGCATGCTTTGAGCATTTATTTCAAAAATGATGAGAGACTCAGAAATGATGTCTGTATTAAATTTCAATATATTAAAGATCAAAAATTGAGTTTCCATGGTAATTCTTTGAATATTTTGGACTTTTAGCCATAGGGCACATTAATAGCCCTGAAAACAAGTACAAGTAAAATGTAGTCTCTTGATCCAGTAAATGAAATAGAAAGACTTTAAACATTTTATAGACTGATACACAGTATTTTTTTCTTTTCTTTTCTTTTCTTTGGAAACAGAGTTTTGCTCTTGTTGCCCAGGCTGGAGTGTAATGGCGCGAACTCAGCTCACTGCAATCTCCACCTCCTGGTGTCAAGCAATTCTCCTACCTCAGCCTCCCGAGTAGCTGGGATTACAGGCATGCGCCACCACACCCAGCTAATTTTGTAGTTTTAGTAGAGATGGGGTTTTACCATGTTGGTCAGGCTGGTCTCAAACTCCCGACTTTAGGTGATCTGCCCACCTTGGTGTCCCAAAGTGCTGGGATTACAAGCATGAGCCACTGTGCCCAGCCTTAGACTGATACACAGTAATATTTTTAAAAGACAATATGAGATAGTGGTGAGCTATGAGAGAGAAGACTGGGTCAGACCATTCTGGCTCCAATTCTGACCCGGGTGCTTCCACCCTGTGACGTTAGGAAGTACCTTTTCTTCTCCGCACCTTGGCTTCTTCATCTGCAAAACACAGTTAAAAATAGCCTTATATAAGTCTCTGGGCTTATATTGGTGATTAAATATGGATTTCTACAGTCAAAGCACTTGAAATGACACAAAACATAATTTTATTGTTAATATCTTCTTCATCTTTGCCGCTTATTTAGGCTTGCCATTTACAGAAACTTTATTGCAAAGCCTGTCTTTATGACAGTATGGAAATTAACTATGGAATTTCATTTAAATAACATAACTATCAACTTTTACATGTCAGTTTCAAACAGAGATAAGAAGCATCTCCTAGGGATTGGAGACATGAGCTTTAAACTTCTTAACTATGACCTGACTTTGCTTCTCAGAGCCCCACAGATAAGTCTGCGTGTAACTGTGAGTGTGAGTGATGTCACAGCATCGGCTGGTTTTCCATGTTAGCAGAAAGCACTGTTTGCTCTCCATGAAGCACCCTCAGATTCTGTCTAAGCCTCCATCCTAACGGAGCACTCCGGCCTGCTGTCTGAATGAGGGAGGGAGTCAGAACAGGAGCATGGGGCTCCAGAGCGGCTCCCTCAGGCTGTTCTCATCACAGCAGGTCTGGTGCCCACCGAGACCACTGGGGGGCTGGAGGGTGGACACGTCTTTCCTGAAGGGACCAACCTCTGAGGGCACTTCTGACTCAGGTGACCGGCTGAGTGAGCGTCCCCTTTGGGCCTGGCTTCTCTTGGAACTTGCTTCTACCATGTCCTAGTAGCCACAAATAGTAAGGACCAGCCCTCAAGTGGACTGTGAGTACTGGCAGGGCAGAGACTTTCTCAAACTTCCCAGCTACGTCCACAGAGACCGAGGAGACACCCGTGAATACTTCCTTTCTGTAAAATGGGACAATGGCCGGGCCTGTAACCACACAGGGTTTTCCTTTCAAGCACGTAGAGGGCACGCACGTACTCGGTTCGTACTATCCAATATTTGTTGAATAACTATCTGCCATTCTATTTTCATTTATTTATTTATTTATTTATTTTTGAGGTGGAGTCTCGCTCTGTTGCCCAGGCTGGAGTACAATGGAGCAATCTCGGCTCCCTGCAAGCTCCGCCTCCCATGTTCACGCCTTTCTCATGCCTCAAGCCTCCTAAGTAGCTGGGACTACAGGTGCCTGCCACCATGCTTGGCTAATTTTTTGTATTTTTAGTAGAGATGGGGTTTCACCGTGTTAGCCAGGATAGTCTCGATCTCCTGACCTCGTGATCTGCCTGCTCCGGCCTCCCAAAGTGCTGGGATTACAGGCATGAGCCACCGCGCCCAGCCATTTTTTTACAAAAGTTGTACGCACGCTCGTACGGAATCATTTTCATAGCCATGGAAGGTGGTCGTCATTGCTCTCATTTTATTCGTAAAATAACCAAGCCATGGGAATTCTCCAGTAGGAGGTAGCCAGAGAGTGGCAGATTGGGAAGCGTCTGGTCCCACATCTAGGCGGCATGTTATTCAAAAGACAGAGTTTCCTGTTGTCTGTCTTGTCTGCACATCCCTCAATGGGGAAAAAAGGAAGGTTCAGGAAAGTTACTTGATCTTGGTTTCACACGTGCTTGGGTGGTAAAGTAAAGGCCACCTCACTGTAACATTCATCTGCATAACAAGCCATCGTTTTCAGGGCACTATACAAGGTAGGCAAAGTCCACATTATTTTCAATATACAGAGACATTAGGGCTTACCTAAGATCACATAGCTAGTGCGTGGTTGTCAGATTGGGTTCACTAGAAGCGGAGCCTGATACCAGTTCAAGTACATGAGATATACTGAGCCAATGTTCTTTGGGGAAAGAAACTGAAGGTACTAAGGGAAGCAGGGTAAAGAAGGGGAAAGGTCCAAGCAAGGCTGTTGCTTAAAGTTCAGTTAAACTCGTCTTCGTCCGTGTTGAAAGGCAGTTCAAGTTACCGACTCAAGGTCTGTTTTTTTTCAATAGACACATTTACAGCTACATATTCTCTCTAGGCATTGCCCTGGCTGCCTTCCATGAGTGTGGGTATGTTGTGTCTTCGTTTTCCTTAATCTCAAAGTATTATCTAATTTCTCATGTGATTTCTTCTTTGATCCATTTGTTATTTAGGAGTGTGTTGCTTAATGTCCACATATTTATAAATTCCCAAATTTATTTTGTCCTTGATTTCAAATTTCATTCCATTGGGGTCAAAGAAAATACTTTGTATAATTTCAGTCTTTTTAAATGGGTTAAGGCTTCTTTTATGGCCTCACATATAGACTCTTGTCTTGTGCAGTGTTCCACGTGTGCTGGAGAAGAATGTGTGTTCTGCGTTACTGGGTAAAGTGTTCTCCAGGAGTCCATTGGGTCTAGTTGGTTTACACGGTTGTTTAGTTGTTCAATATCCTTGAAAATCTTATGACTAATTGTTCTCTTCATTATTAAAAATGGGTTGTTTACACATCGAGCTATTTTTGTTAAATTGTCTATGTCTTCCTTCTAGATTGTCAGTTTTTGATTCATGTATTTGGGGCTCTGATATTATGTGCTTATATAAATATATGTATATTACTATGTTTATAATTCTTATATCTTTTTAATTGATTGACCATTTTATCATTATAATATGTCCCTGTTTATTCCTAATTATGTTTTTTGTTGTTTTGAGGTTCATTTCGTCTAATATAAATATTGCCACTCCTGCTTTCTTATGGTCGCCATCTGCATGATGCATCTTTTTCCATCCTTTTACTGTCAATCTAATGGTAACTTTGAATCTAAAGCGTGTCTCCTATGGAGCATATAATTGGATGTTGTTGTGTTGTTATTGTTGTTTTATCCATGCCAGTAATCTCTGCCTTTTTATTTGGTTGTTTAATTAATTTACATTTAATAGATTATTGATATCATTAGATTTGTATCAGCCATTTTACTTTTTTCTATATCCCATGCCTTTTTTGTCCCTCTGTTTCTTCTTTACTGTTTTCAATTAAGTGAATGTTTTGTACTATAGCATTTTGATTCCTTTTATGATTTTTTAACTGTGTTTTTGAGTCATTTTCTTAATGGTTGTTCCAGAGCTTACAATATGTCTTAAATATTTCTAATTTATGGGAACTTGTTTTAATAAGATACAAAAACATTACTCTCATATGGTTCTAGTCTTTTTTCTCCTTTTTTATGCTACTACTGTTATATATGTTAAATCTATATATGATACACACTCAGCAATTCGTGATTATAGTTAATAATTTATA